GCGAAGGAAACGACTCGGTTGATGTGATACCTTATTCGCTGGAGTGTCAAACGTAAGTGGGAGGAAATTGTGCGCTTGGGGCTGTCGGTTCCAGAAGTTTCTAAAACCTTAAGTATTTCTTGGTTGATTTTTTAAAAGTCTTTTTATTGACAATTGTGTGTTAAATTCGTTGGTTGGATTTGACATTATGGGAGCCAACGTTTTAAATAATATCTGCAATCAGTTATTGATTTATGTTTTTTATGAAAATGTACAAAAAAAGTTGTGAACAAATTATTTTCATTCAAATCTTTGACATTTTTATTTTTTGGAAAATAAAATTTCAAACTAATGAAACTATTGTCTACATTAAAAAAAAATGTTTTCAAAGGAAGGTTTTTGTTTTTAATAACTTCATTAAAAACGATGACAGAAAGCAAAACGATTTGCATAAAGGAAGTTTTTGTTCTACATTTTGGGTACGCTTATATTTGCCTTGAATTTTGTAGATTAGATTATTGGCTTGGAACACTTGGACTTCACTTTATTAATTAGATCATTCGTTAATACTCAGTTACGCTTAAATTTTTGTATTTAAAGAAAAGCTTATTTTGCCAAGTATTTCCCAAATGTGTAAATTCAGAGATAATATTTCACCACAACCCCGAAAACCCTAAGAATCCTCCTTGTGTTTTTCAAAATGCCTGCTCTAAGATCTCAATCCCGAAGTTTTGAAGACTAAAAGCTCAGAACGCAGTGCCGAGTGAGATTCTCCCCAGAGAGCGAGGTAAACCCACTCAAACACCAGAGAACGAGACCGTCGACCAATTAACTGGTCACTCAAGAAGCGGCGAAAAACGAGGAAGATTTTGACGTCGCGCTGGCTGGGAAGCCGAGAAACGCTAGACGAGATGCGTGATCATGATCGCGATAATGACGATAATGGAGATGGGGGCGAAAGCCCGAACTTTCCGAGTTCTCCTCTCTCGCGGCGCTCTCTTTCGCCTTCTCGCTCTCTCTCTCTCGGTGTGCCGAAGTGTGTATCTGTGTGTCGGCCGAGTGGGAATGTATCTGTATCTGTATCCGAGCCGAGTATCTGAAGTATCGGAATCAGGTAGAGGTAGACAGAAAGGCGTTAGTCGTTCAACAGCGCTGATCGAGTTTAAATCTATAGCGAAATGAGCGGCGGCGGTTGCGTCGAACTGAAAGCCAAAGTGTATCACTTGGCGTAACTCAAAGCTTTCAAGGAAAATTCTCCTCGGCCACCAAGAAATAAAAGTATCTGACAGATTCGCGGCGCGTTAAAGATATCTCAGTGCGGAAACAAAGAAATTGAGGCATTTAGGTTGTGCGCGAGTGTGTGTCTTCTGCTGGGTGTGTGTGGAATGTCAACTGACGGGTTGTAAAGGGAAACCCTGAAATCCGAACAGCCAGCCAAAGCAAATAAAGCTGTGAATACGAATTAAGTACAACAAACAGATACAGATAGATAGAGAAACAGATACTGGAGATGCCCTCAGATACGGCTAGTGAGTGAGCTTAAGAAACATAGTGCGTTGCGTGTGTGCGGGACTTGGAAGCTATGTGGATTACTTTCGAATCGTCAGCCGAAGGAGCCGCCGGGTGACAGGTGTATCCGCATCCCCCCAAAAATCCAAGACACCCACATCCAGATATTAAGCCCCAGGGTGTCATGTGCCGCGGCATTTCGACCGCAGCCACATCTACCGACCAGGTGCGCCTCGATTGCGGCAACACTATTTTCAACAAGAACTCGATCTACTTCATCTACAATTATCGAAGGAAAACAGAAAACAGTAGCCGACGCGGGCCCACAAGAAACATCAACATCCCTATCAGATATTTACACAAGCGTGATTTATTTGAAAAGCGAAACGGCCAGCGCCATAAACATCTGTAAATTGTGCAAATATATCCAAGTGTAACCTAAAGCCGCCCGCCGCGATAACGGATCCCATTCCCATTCCGATTTCGATTCCAATTCCCCGATCCACGATCCCAATCCCGTCATAAATTCAGTGGAACGAAAAGTGTACGAGACAGTTGGTCGCTCCTATTTTGCTTGCTTTCCGGGCGATCCATCACACGGCTTTCGAATTAATAACCGAACACATGTCGTATCGATATTCGACTTGAGCGATACGGGCACCCGGAGATCCAATATCAAGCGATACCACTCGACCATAGGAAACTTTATAAGACTGAGGTGAGTGCCGGGCCTTCGTCCACTAAGCTTATGTAAATGTGTCAAAAATACAGTGGAGAAGAGGCGGAGGTGAATATCTGAACTTGTGAGAACTGCACACAAAACCATTGCATAATGACAGCCGTGCATTCGATATCGAAAAGCCAAGTTCATTTGATATTGAAAATTACTCGGCTATCCGAGGAATTTTTCGGGTTGTTCGCCTTGTCGATGGCATGTGGCATTCGCTCTGCGACATTTGAGAGAACTCAAATTGTTCTTGGTCAAAACTTCGCTATAGGAATTGGTAATGGGATACTCGGTGAATTCGGTTTGGCAGAAGTTTATTCAAAGTCAATTAGTTGGCTCTTTCACTAAGTATTAATTTGTGTTTGCTTAATTTGTTTCTTATTTTGTTTAATGCAAACAAATAAAAGATCTCTTCAAAACTAAATTGACTTATTTAATCCATTTTAAAATAGAAAGTAATTTAAAAAGAATATTTTATTAGAAAAATATTAGCTCATGAAATTAATAATTAATATAGAGTTCCTATTAGATATTCCTTCTTTAATTACTTAATGTTAGCTCATTAATATAATTTGCTCATAATGGGTTTTATGTACTACTTATTAAGAATGAAAGTCAAACCAATTTTTTAAATTTAGTAAGTTTTTTTAAAAAGCCTTAGTAAAAAATTAAATCTATGCATAAAACAGCTATTAAAAGGGAGTGGATTCAACCGAGTCTTCTACGTAAATTAACCTGCTAATAATAAGATCGTCTACAATCCCTAATCAAAATATTTCCCCACGTATATCATAATCGTATTGTGCCCTTGCTAGAGATCCTATTCCAAGAAATCCCCTGACCTTTGTTGCCCAGCACAATAAAGTACCGTTCTGATGCTCAACTAATATTATAGATGGGAGACCCTTTAAAATCTTAAAAAAGGGAACATAAAAAGCGGCGGCAAAGACAAAACAAAAATGTCAATATCCTGGCACATAAATAACACGGCAGAATAAAGTCTTCGATTCTATTGTATGCGATGGGTGCGTTAGTGTCCAAGGGTTTTGTGACTACGTTGGCGTTTATTATTAACCAATCTAATTGCTGACGTTGTGCGGCACAGATTACTATACTATATCTATATCTTGGCCAGTGTGTGCGTGTATGCGATTTGGTATTGGGTAACCGGAATCAAACGTTAATCGTTAATAACAAAAATGTGTCAATTTGCGAAACATTTCGGAGTCGTTGGTGCTGCGACAAAAAGCTGAAATTTGAACTTTAGCAGGCGCTTGCGACATTTCACAGCTCGAATTGAGCTGAGTGTGAGTTATAGATATAGTATCTGGTATCTAGAACGCGCGTATTTCACTGAATGGACTGTGAGCTTGGAAATCCCGTAGAGCGCCTGGCAATTCATCGGTCCGAGTGTCTAGGGGAAACCCCCGTTTGTCCCAGATCACCGGCCATCGGGGCAGGTAGTAAAGAACACATATAAAAATACGGCTAAACTCTAGCTGAAACTGAAACCACACGCAACCACAACCCACGGAATTCTGGGAACATATTAAAAACAAACAACAAATTATGAACAAATCATAAACGTATTTATGAAATTCAATTTCATTCACCCTTTCCCCGGTTTCCCTTCTAATTTCCACCAATTTCCCCTCGCCGTCTTATCAGAGGCCCGAAATCTTGTGCACCCCCCAGCGTGTGCCATCTTTTCCAAAATTCCAATTTAACCATTTTCGAAAGATCCCTTTGCGCTTAAGCGCCCTGTCATATAACAAATTTTTTTTTAGTACAAGATAAGATGGTAATCTTTATGTGAAAAACAACATGTAATTTGTTCTAGGTGTGTGCGTGTGCGTACCTTTTTCAAACTCATCTTGAGATAAAATCTTGGAAATTTATAGCCTATAACCAAAATATATAGAATACTTCTAATAATTTTCATAAATTTTCTAGATAAGTTGGCTCTCTGGGTTTTTGAGCATTTGCCGCCTGTTTGTAAATCAAAGCGCCAGCGATAAGTGGAAAATATGACGATCGAAGCTACTCTAATAACCGAAAAAAATGTGGGGGTACGCGGTGGGGTTGGGTGGGTTTTGGGTTGGTTGTGGGGTTGGATTGAATTTCTATTCGTAGACACAAAACGATAAACCTGGTCCCAAAAGATCGTGTGTCAGTGCAAAAGGTGCAATGTCCGCCTGCGATTGCAACACTTGCAAGTGAGGGAGGGGGAGGGGTAGAGGGTGGTGGTAGGGTGGCAGGGTGGCAGAGGGAGAAAGGAGAGCCACCATTTTTTAGTTGCACCTTTCGCCCCGCCATAAAACCTTGGGCAGGCGGTGTGCGGTGTGGTGCGATGTTGTGCGGTGCGGCGCTGCTCTCTTTCCCATCAAATGGGCCAAAAGGAAGCGACGTCGCTGCCGCGGTCGCAGTCGCAGTCGCTGTCGCAGCTACCGCCGCTGCCGACGTCGCTTACCTGCCGAAGAAGAAGAGCAGCGTTCAGTCGCGCAGCGCACGTCGTCCAACGCACACACACACGCTGAGAGACACCGACACGCACACACTGTCAGGAAAAAGATACAAGATAGTATCTGGCAGATACGAAAGAGTTGGACCCCCTATAGTCGTCCCGCTTGCACCCATGGCCGCCTGAGTGTGAGTGCAAGAGCGGATTGAGTGGAACACGATCCGAATCCGAATCCATTCCGATCCGAATCCGAAGCAGCTATAACCCTTGCCGACCAGACCAGCGCTTGACTTAACCCATGTCTTCCTCTTTGTCTCGTTTCAGAGTTGCAAGCGACCATGCGCGCATGGCTTCTACTCCTCGCAGTGCTGGCGACCTTTCAAACGATCGTTCGAGTTGCTAGCACCGAGGATATATCCCAGAGATTCATCGCCGCCATAGCGCCCGTTGCCCACCAGCTTCCCTTGGAAGGATCGCGATCACGGTCAGGATCAGGATCAGGATCAGTATCTGGTGGAGCAGGAGGATCCGGAGCATCCGCCACCAGCACAGCATTAGCAAAAGCATTTAATCCATTTAACGAACCCTTGTCGTTCAGTGATAGTGATAAAAGCCATCTGAGAAAAAACAACAACAACAACAACAAAAAACGTAGCAAAAGTGACGCGAACCGACAGTTCAACGAAGTGCATAAACCAAGAACAGACCAATTAGAAAATTCCAAAAATAAGTCTAAACAATTAGTTAATAAACCCAACAAAATGGCTGTCAAGGAGCATAATCAAAACAAGAAGAAGCACCATCATCAACGCAGCCACCAACAGCCAAAGGCCACCAGCCCGGCCAGCCAGTCCACAGAATCTCATCAATCGTCGATTGAATCAATCTTCGTGGAGCAGGAGCGGGAGCCAACGCTGGTGCTCGACCGCGAGGTGGCCTCCATCAATGTGCCGGCCAATGCCGGGGCCATCATCGCCGAGCAGGGCCCGTCCACCTACAGCAAGGAGGCGCTGATCAAGGACAAGCTCAAGCCGGACCCCTCCACTCTAGTCGAGATCGAGAAGAGCCTGCTCTCGCTGTTCAACATGAAGCGGCCGCCCAAGATCGACCGCTCCAAGATCATCATCCCCGAGCCGATGAAGAGGCTCTACGCCGAGATCATGGGCCACGAGCTCGACTCGGTCAACATCCCCAAGCCGGGACTGCTGACCAAGTCGGCGAACACAGTGCGAAGTTTTACACACAAAGGTGAGTTTCCTTAATATCTATAATGACCCTTAAACCAGGAAATCAATATCACCTAATAGTAGAAACCCGGAAGCGGAAATGAGAGTTCAGTTAAAAGTATAACTTTTGCTATCCCAATTTCAATTGAAGTTCAATTAGTTGGTTTTGAGAGATCTCTTCAAAATAGTTTTGTAAAAACAATACTATTTGTTTTAATTTGGTTTTAATTATTCCAATTTCATCAAACAGTTAGTGCAAGGAAAACATTTTTTATAATTTAAAATGGGTTCAACAGTCATTATGATCAAAATTCTATAATAATATAAAATTTTCTAAGTAAAATTAAATTTTAGAAAAGGCATAATATTCTTGAATCGATTGATAAAAGTTTAAAAATCTTTGATATTATTTTACCTTACCTTCAATATATTTAGCTGAGATACATTTGAAATATTCATCTGAACTGAATTGCCTTTTTATAGAGGCGAATTTCCATTTTGATTAAAGAATGTGGATCAAATAAATTTGATACTGGTTTATCTAGATCGTTTGACACATTTTTATTTGCGAATAGATAGAATGGCAACACTAGCTTTTTATAGGGAAATAAATAAATATTTAAATGGTGCAACTAGCCTATTTTATTGGGGCATAAATCGAAGTGAAAAATAATCAAATCCATTTGCGATTACTTCCTCTACCTGTATTTTCCACCTGCCACCTCGCACTGCCAAAGGATTCTATATGTATTTGCCTGAACTTATATTTCCACTCATCGCAACGCGTACTTTCCGCTACCAAAATGCGAATGAAGAGCGACTCGGATTTTCCCTGAAATTCTAGTTCATCTAAGCGATTTGCATACCTGCTCGTCCGATCCCTCGATCCTTCGATCCTCCCCTCTATCATTCACGCAAGCGCTGTGAAATCACGCGGAAATTCCACGGCTTTCCAAAATGAACAGCTAAAAGGACACGAGCGTCCTTTTACCTGCTCGCCCGCGATGGCAGCACGGCGGTGACCTTGAAAATTTTCCAAGGAATTACACCAGGAACGTTTAGCGCATGCGCTAAATGGCTTTTATATTGTATTTGTAGGAATAACAATTATTATTAAAGCGTATTTCGCATTATTTCCCGCAGGATTATAGGGTCGAAGACAATAAAGCAGTTAGGAGCAGGTAACCAAACAGCCGCCACACAAACCAAGTGTCTAAAGCCAAGTGTCTAAGCCGACTGGCGAGTCGAGTTTGTCTTGGTTACGGTTCAGTTTTTGGCCAAGTCTGCATCTGTGCCGTTTTCTCGGCTCGGTTTGGTTCTCGAATCCCTCCGCTTGATTCTCGCTTCCCAAAAGAATTTACGACTTGCTTTCCTTTGTGAGCGGAGGTACTTGAGATCGGCAGCGGCGGCGGCGGCGTCGATTCAAATTAAGATTTTTCGGCAAGCGTGCAGAGTTTGCACCTTGCCGCACAGCTATATACATATACACCTTCCGACAGATCCGAAAAGGTAGGCCGGGGTGGGCCAGGGTCTTTAGCACAGGCGCCAGTCGTAAAAAGGCGGCTGGACAACTGGAACGTGCGATTTCGACCTTCTTTGTCCCAGATTTCCCTGCACTTTCCACGCTCGAGAGCAGTAGTGGGTGTATTTAAGCAGGGGTACTTACCACTCCAGGTAGCCGACTCGCCGAAGGTGTGTCTAATCATCTGGCCGGAGATCCGAGCCCGCTTTATATCCCCACTGATCGAGGCCCTTGCACTTGATCCACCGGATCGTCCGGCTTAATTCGCTGATCTCAATTTCAGTGGGATGAAACAGGCAGCTGGAAGTTGTATTTTTTTTAGCAGGGTGTCCAAAAAATGGAATACTATACTTTTCTTCATAACAAGCTAGAAATGGAATTGTAAAGGGTTGGCATTGTGTAATCTTGCCATATTTAATATTAAATTACTTAGGAAGTCGAAGGTGTTAGTTTATTTATTTGTTAAGATGAAAGAAAGGTTTATAGTCAGTGATAAGATCTAATATTTTAAAGGAAAGGTTACTGAATTCTCTATAAAGTTATATTTCTCATATAGCTACAGACATTTTGAAGGCCTTTTAAGGGAGACCACTTAGTTGAAATAGTAGATTTGATTATATTTAATGATTATTAAAAAAGTGTTTTTTATTTTTGTGTAGAATAGAGCTACTTTACCCCTTCTTGCTCATATATTTTTCATTTATTTCCTTACCCCCAAAACTCACCGGAAATATCTTTTTCTTCCGCCTAATTGCAGATAGTAAAATCGACGATCGGTTTCCGCATCACCACCGGTTTCGCCTGCACTTCGACGTTAAGAGCATTCCCGCCGACGAGAAGCTGAAGGCGGCGGAGCTGCAGCTGACCCGGGACGCCCTGAGTGCGCAGGTGGTGGGCAGGACGTCGTCCGCGAATGCCAATCGCACCCGCTACCAGGTGCTCGTCTACGACATCACGCGGGTGGGCGTGCGCGGTCAGCGGGAGCCGAGCTACCTGCTGCTGGACACCAAGACGGTCCGGCTGAACAGCACGGACACGGTGAGCCTCGACGTCCAGCCGGCCGTGGACCGGTGGCTGGCAAGTCCGCAGCGCAACTACGGACTCCTGGTGGAGGTGCGGACGGTGCGCTCGCTGAAGCCGGCGCCGCACCACCACGTACGGCTGCGGCGCAGCGCGGACGAGGCGCACGAGCGGTGGCAGCACAAGCAGCCGCTCCTGTTCACCTACACGGACGATGGGCGGCACAAGGCGCGCTCCATACGGGACGTGAGCGGGGGCGAGGGGGCGGCGGCGGCGGCAAGGCCGGGCGGAATAAGCGGCAGCCAAATCGAAGACCGTCACGGCGCAAGAACCACGATGACACGTGCCGACGGCACTCGCTCTACGTGGACTTCTCGGACGTGGGCTGGGATGACTGGATTGTGGCGCCACTGGGCTATGATGCGTTCTACTGCCACGGGAAGTGCCCCTTCCCGCTGGCCGACCACCTCAACTCGACGAACCATGCGGTGGTGCAGACGCTGGTCAACAACATGAATCCCGGCAAGGTGCCGAAGGCGTGCTGCGTGCCCACGCAACTGGACAGCGTGGCCATGCTCTATCTCAACGACCAAAGTACGGTGGTGCTGAAGAACTACCAGGAGATGACCGTGGTGGGCTGTGGGTGTCGATAGATTCGCTGCCACCACCACCACCATGGCGATGGTCATCCACCCAAGTGGAAATCGCGAGCGAGAGAGCATCAAATGCTGTTTGGTTCCAAGCCGTCAATGCTTTAAACACAACGCAAACAAAATGGACTGAATATTTGAATTTTAAGTGTAAATCATTAGACTTTAATCGTATGGAGTAACCAGCGGCAGCCACGCCCACATCCCATAGAGCCACGACCACCCACCGCCGACCTTGGAGCCTCTGTCAGTTTCCCCAGCCAGGCTGGGGGAAAATCCCAGATCAGAGTGATTTTGAGTGAGAAGAGTCCACTGTAAATAGCCGCCATGCCACGCCCCCAAGAAACAGCCACCCCCCAACCACCCATCCGTCAGATACTTCAGATATTAGATACTTTCGTATCTGTGTGAGCTGCTGCTGCTGCTGCTGAAGAAAAAGAAGAGTAAGAGTAAGAGCGACCAATTGAACAAATTGTATAAAAATGCTATAATATATTTAACAACTTTATCGATGCGAACTGGTATCTTTGTATGTACATGTTTGTGGAAAGGAGAACTATTCTACTAGCCGTTTTTTTTATGGATAATTTTATAAAAGCAATAGCAAACCATTTGTAAATTAACTAGCGAGAGTATAATCGAATAATGACTTGAAATTACTTAGGAACTATCAGACCTAAACACATACCTAGTTGTAGTAAACTGATATTGCATATTGTAACTCTCTTGTATATGTACTAAATACCTATATACTTTATATGCAATACACACACTAGCGCACACCCTCATCCATAAGCACACACAAACACACACTCACACATATCGACGAAAGGGTATTGAAACTTCTTTCCGAATTCAACTAAACGTAACTGTATAAACAAAACGTATGCTCTATAAATATATGAATAACTATTTACATCGTTATGCGTTATAAGCTAAGCTCGAATAAATCCGTAAACGTTAATTAATCTAGAAATTTAAGACCTATCGCTTAAGCTCAGCATGTTGGATAAATTAATAGAAACGAAAGAAAAAAAAAAACAAAAAACCCACAAAAAGAAACCACGATGAAAGGAAAATATCAATTCGTGCCTGATGTTGCAGAGCACGATTTGTATATGTAATTTTTCATATAAACTTTATTATTTTATTTATTTAAAACAAAGCATATTTTTGATGACGACGATGATGATGATGATGATGCGGGAGCGATGAGGAAAAAGAAAGATGAAAAATATAAAAGAAAAACAATTTATTAAAAAAAAAATAACTATTGAAGTTTTTTTATTTGACAAAAGTGTTACAGGGGAAGAAAATAAAATTGGAATATTTTATTTTTACTGCTGAAAAGTAAGTATACCGAAATTCGATAACCTTTTTACGAAGTCGTTTAAGTTTAATTTACGATGTTTAATTAAACCAATAAAAAGAATAGAAAAAAATCCTTCGAGCCGGATTTGAACCAGCGACCTATGGATGCCTGCTAATTTCGAACACCTGAATAATAGTTCGATGCAATTGAAACACTTCTACAGTCCACCGCTCTACCAACTGAGCTATCGAAGGTGATGTCAGTTCAGGTGAAAATTCAAAATTTCGCTAGCTTTTCAAAGTTAATTTAATCAGAGCTCAGCAAAAAACCAAGTGAAACAATGGCAAACACTTATCGCAGCAGTAAAAGCAGCAACAAAACTGTCGCAGGTATACCCCAAAACGTGCTGATAAGAAACGAGTGCCAAATCACTTCGCTGTTTAGATTATAAACGTAAGAAAAAGCCATTCATACGAAATCATTTTAAAAGTGGAAAACCAGCTATAAAATCACAGCACTACGAGTAATTTGTTAATTAAATGAGCCAGTTCGAAACGGGTGATAACGATCTGCATGCATATCAACTTCTCTAGAACTGTCTAAAGCATAACAAATTGCTGGCAAATGAAACGATAGGAATCTGGAATAACTATTCAAACAGCTGAATGAACTTTGATGCTGATAAGGCAGGGTAATAAATATTAATTATACCACATTTCAGGTCAACAAAAAGTTTACTTACTCTCCGTTGATTGTTTAAATCAATGTCAAGTTAATGAAATTACCCAACAGCCTGAAAAGCTTTTAAGTGCAAACTAGGAATATCTATTTATGCACTAAAGTGGGAACAAATTAATTAGTTTATTTTGATTTAATCTTTTATATTCGTAAATAACAAACAGGGACCATTTTGATTGAAATTAAATATATATTTTTATTTTTATTTATTTATACGTTTAGCAGCTAAAACAATGTTGTTCTATTCAAAAAAAAATCATGAATAAAGTAGAGCAAAATATATGTATATGTATTTTTAACTTAATATACACCGCAGGTTTAAGTTCATTACTGATAAGGATGGGGATGGCCCTAGACGCAGCTGTAGTTTGAAAATATGACCTTAGTCTATAAATAGCCCCGCCGATTAAATGCTATTACAAAACTAAATGAAATGGAAATCCAGAGGAAGATGCAATTTCGTCTCAAGAAGGTTGGATGAGTCATTCGGGGATTTTTTCTGGGTTTATCGGAAGAGTAAATTAATTTACCCACACCATGCACTGTGGCAAAGTGTATTTTTTGGGCTCAATTAAATGACTCATCAGGCGGATGAAAACGAGCCTGAGAGCCATTGACTTGCCACACACAAGGCGAGTGGTGAGAGATAAAGTCCACTTAAAGGTCTAACGCTTTGCCAAAATAGTTATCGGTTTTTCCTAGGAACTTGGCAATTTTTCGTATGCCAAGCTAGATCTATTGGAGCGATAGGACAACGCCCACATATTGGGATTGGGAAAATTCATTCAATCATAGTGGGAAATTGATACTGAGATCAAGAGACCTCACCGACTATTTCAGATCGAAGACCGCTGATAAGCAAAAACTGGGTAGGAATTCGAAAAGGGAGAAACTAAGCCGAGAGTCATTTCCTAGTCATTCTTAAAAATTATGAACATTTGTTGTAACATACCTGAGCAAATTACGAATAACTAATCCAGCAACTGACCCCTCGCCGCGGGAATCATTTTTTCTTATCTAACAAGACGTTTTGAGCAATCGATCCACACGCACACTCGCAGCCTCGAAACCTTGCTCAATGGATCACAAACGGGTCGCCGCTCATGGCGCTTAGCCATACCGCTCTGCCGCTTTCCCTCACCTGTCCCTCATTTCCACAACCTCACCTGCCCCCATCCCCTCAGCCCAGCGTCCCTGCATCTGTGTGTTTTCGTCGGTAATTATCCGTAAGCTGTCAGTTTTTTCGCTCCGCTTCCTCCGATGCACTTCTGGGCTAACCTTTTTTTAACCATCGTAAGTGAGTATTAGAGATGGCAGCGCTGAGGTTCGATGTTTTTATTGTTTTTCTAAAAAAAATAAAAAAGCACAACCAACGAAAGTAAGTATTTGACATAATATATTGTAATGTAATGTATTAACAAATTTTTTAAAGTAAGCATTGTGCTTTATTTTTTTGATATTACTAGTTTTAGTATTTTAAATAAAAAAATAATTTGAAATTGTCGTAAGCATCAGCAGGAATTAAATTTCATATAACGAAACTTCCAGACAAATACTTAAATACCTCTAATTTTATGGGAGCTTAAGTAAAGGTTATAAATTATTAACATCAGAACTTCATTATACTAAATATTGTGTGACACGCTGCCATCCCTAATTGATATACTTATATAGATAAGTCGATATTGGTCTGGTGCCCGTTTTCGGATTTCGTTTTTATGACTTGCCGCATTTTTGGCATCCTAATTGGTTTGTTAAGTATTTCCCTCGTCTTGCCGTGCCTTTCGGGCCGTCAAAAATTGCCCTGTGTCTTATCGGGAACACACTTTGTCCGAGTGCTGCTGCTACGATATTTCGTGGTTCTGTTCTGGGACTCATAGGCCTCCGGCCGAGTTCTCTGGACCTCTGGCCACTCGCCTGATAAGGCGGATCGTGTCTTCTGCGCGCCTCTGGCATGATTCACTTGGTCCGCTTACCGGATCCCCAGGCCACAGGCCACAGGCGATGCTGCGTAGATGTGCGAGCATATTTGGTTCCCCGGGGAGATGACTCACGGCCGGCGTTTACTAGGTGGCCACGTTAATTGTCGCCCCCGATACGCACTGTCTGTGTTTACACCCGGCGCCTGGCTTTCATCTGGCCGAAAAAAAAACAAGAAATCCGAAAACAATCGGCTCTCACAGTCGATATTCATTGCTGGCTCTGCATAAAGCAAAGCTCATTTCCCCCCGAAAACAGCACAGCACCATCGAAATACCGCCACTTAAATTTGTCTCAGCTGATAAGTTGTCTTTCACTCGCATTGTTTATGAACTCGTTTTGCAGCGAGCCATATATAGACCTTCGATAGCTCAGTTGGTAGAGCGGTGGACTGTAGATTGGCATTACGGTTGTAGACATCCATAGGTCGCTGGTTCAAATCCGGCTCGAAGGATTTTTTGTTTTTTTTTCATTGTTCAAAAAGGGATCTTTAATAAGTTTGTATAAATGAGCTTTGAACTGCATAGCACTAATCCTGATACTTGGATAAAAATACTAATACAATACAATTTATAACTTAATAACTTTGTAACTGCTTTTTGGGAAAAAAATTTATTTCCAATTTTAAGCCATACATCAAACATTTACTCATACAAAAAGACACTTACAAAACACAAGAACTCTGCTGAATAGAGCCCTTGTGATAAATCTGAAGCAGATCATAAAAGAGAGAACAAATTGTAACAAAAATTACAGCCTTCAATTTGCATTTGTCCTTTCACAAAGGACCGGCCAGCCACAAAGCCAGAGCCAGAATAATAACAACTGGCAGCCAAAAAGGCAACAAAGGCCAGCATCAGCATAAAAGTCCAGACTTTTTGACTCACAATGCAGACGTCCTGCCGCTTTGGCTGCCGTTTTCTCCAACTTCTCTTCTGACTTCTCCAGCTCCTCCGCCCAAAAACAGATGCTATCAATACATCATTTGCCTTTGTGCGGCTGTCACAAATTCATTCACCTGTTCTCGGGCCACGACTTCATCATCAGAAGCCGGAGCAGCCGGGCATCCAGACAATTATACTGCGTTGATCTCCAATTAGGCTGTCGAAACTCCATTTACACGGCCAACGGGCGTCCCATAAAACATCAAGACTGGGGAAATATGAAGGCATAAAGGCAACAGATTCAGCTCTCCTTAAGTTGCAAGTCATCTTTTCCACCGGCACCATCATCATCATCATCCTCATCGGCGAGTTAAGTAAATACAAATATGAATGAATTGCTCACTGGCTCCTTGTGAAGATCTGGATCTGCATCTGGATCTTGGCAGATCATCATCCGGCATTGTCTCAGCCGTCATCCTCCTCGATCCCCTTCCCCCTCCTCCTCCCCCACCAGTTCCACATCCAAGTCAAGTATTCGGGCGTACAACTCAAGAGTGTTTGCCCTTTCAACGATCTCGATCTCGATCTCTTGGCCATATAACAGTTGCACTTTTGCCTCGCTGAAGATCAAAATTCGTCTTATTTCTTAATGGCTACAAAACATACCGACAATACTGCATATGTACCATATAAATCCCTGAGCTCTGAAGCCGTATACATATAGGTCTGGTGTGCTCGACCTTAATTAGTTCAACACTCGTTAGATATTCCACAAGCCACAGGCATTCGCCTGTGCGCATTTGCATGCCGATTATTGTGATTATGATTATGACGATGGCATGCCGTCGAAGAACTTAATACCCACGCTGAAGAACAGCTTTTTCCTCATTATTGAAATTCCAATAGATCACAAGAAGCAAGAGTTTGGCAGTATCGAGAGCAATTGATACCCTAATACTTATTTTAAATTCAAAATATATGTTTTTGGTGACTTAAAAACATCAAAGTGATAAACTTAAATAAATAATGAACATTTTTTTAAATAACTAAAATACGTGGCAAAAATACTTACCAATTTTTTTTAGCTTTTATTGCTTATGCTTAGGGGGAATCGCCTTCATTCACCTACTTGAATTCTCATTGTGCCTGGCTACCCGGCTATAAA